AGAACCTGTCATTGCTGGTCCAGTTTTATTTCTGGAAAAATCTGCTAAACTGAGCCAGAGTTCAAGTCCACAAGGGGAACACATACACTTATAACACTCATGCACGCACTCAATGATTTAGTTCCAACTCCTGTTGTGGGACTTTTAGCCCGATGCTTTTAAATAACATGCAAGTAGTTGATCTACAAACTTGATAGTCATCTCTTTTCTTGCAGCATCCTGTAAAAATTATTTTGCAATGTGTCTCAAAGTCAGGAATATCGTTATTTTTGTTCTGTCAAACCATGGGCTGTCAGGTGGAGTAAGGGGGGGCTTGGGGGGAGGAAGATGGGGGGAGAGTCAAACTCAGCATGAAGTCTGGGACTTCAGCCTAAAATATAATATGGAATCTTTACCTCTGAGTAGAACTGTGGTACCTTATGCCAGAAAACAATACAGGATTGGCCAACTAGGGATTAGCTGTTATTATTCTGGCTTTTTGTTGCTGGACTTTCTACGCTAAACCCATAAGGAAAATAAAAAATCAGCTCACTTTAGAGGTTGTGAAGAAGGTCTGGGCAGGCAGTTGGTACTCATCTGTGATTTCCTCACTCTGGTACTACATGATTGACAGTTTCCATATTCTGAGAGCCATCCAGAGCTCTGCAAAATCTAGCTCTACTGCTTTAAGGGCATTTAACCTCAACAGTAATGAGCTTCATAGAAGCACCTTTAGAAACACATAAGAGTTTCATCCAAAACTTATCAAACTTATAAGTGCATGTTCTTGATTTTAATGGAGTTTGGATTAGATAGTCAGGGAACTTAATGGAGCTGCTTCTGACATTTTGTGGAGTAACAATGTGCAGTTCAAGCCTCTGACCACACTTCAGCAACTTGAAACTCAAAAGATTTCAGTGTGGAAAGTCTGTGCTTCATTACTCTGCTTTAAGGGGAGGAAGCTTAACATGTAATAGAAATGAGTATGAAAACTGCTTACTTCAAAACATTTCCAGGCACAATTTGTTGTAGTAATCCATTTTCCTTTCTAGTGGAGTCTTCCTTCCCAGGCTTTTATGGATTGAAAAAGACTTCATCACCCTAAACCCCCCAGGATATATTGAGATCAGAACTAGAATGCATTGGAAAGGGAAGTTTCTATTCCACAGAAACTTCAGGATTTCAACATTAGATCCAGTTTCAAACCAAGACATGGAGTTGACATTTCAAAGCTTTTTGGAGAGTGAAATATTGCCTAGACTTATGATTCAAAATTGTCATTAAGGTGTTTCAAACTGTGTCCCCCAAACCATTACTATGAGCTGTAGATCGGAGGTACAAGGTATTTCCTTGGCTTACCATGGTGATGAAGCAGTGCCTTCCATGGTGCTTATTTTTATGACAAGATCCTCAGCCACCTCTCGTGAACAGACCCACACATTGTCTTGGCAGACTTTTCTAGTTCTGCAGACCAAGTCAGTCTACTGTTTTTGGTAGCTGGCCTCACGTAGTATCTTGCATCTTCAACATCTCTGATTATAGCCATTTTAAAACATTCCCTCTGTGTTTTGTTCGTGCTTTCTGGGTAAATGCTGAAAGAAAAAATTCTGCCTTCCTGTTCCTTGTTAACCCTTTGCAGATTTCTGGGTGAGTGGTGACATATTTTCACCTCTTCCATAACCTTTTTTAGTGAGTTCTCTGCAGCCTTGATGGACAGTGAAAATAATATTATGGAAATTACATGTTCTCAACTCAGCTAAACTTTTGTTTCTTCTGTTCAGAGACAAAAGATATTGCTCTCATGAGCTGTGTATTTTTTCAGGAGCACTTCAATATTTCCTTGTCTGATCTTTTGCTGTCACAAAAGTCCAGCCTGCAAAATGTTTTCATGTAAGAGCTACTAAAAACTCATATAAGAGATTGGGAGTAGTGTGTTTCATTTTAAAGCATCAGTGACTCCATTTCAAATACTAGCAACTTTTCTAGTGCCTGTAATTACCTTCAAAAAATGGAAGAATTTCCCTAAGTAATGAGAAATTAAAAGAAGGAGAAGGAGAAGGAGAAGAAGGAGAAGGAGAAGGAGAAGGAGAAGGAGAAGGAGAAGGAGAAGGAGAAGGAGAAGGAGAGACAAGGAGAGACAAGGAGAGACAAGGAGAGACAAGGAGAGACAAGGAGAGACAAGGAGAGACAAGGAGAGACAAGGAGAGACAAGGAGAGACAAGGAGAGACAAGGAGAGACAAGGAGAGACAAGGAGAGACAAGGAGAGACAAGGAGAGACAAGGAGAGACAAGGAAAAAAGAATAAACTTGGGAATTTTTTTTATTTCAGGCATTGGTTAATCACTCATAAGTTTTTTTTCTATGAAAATTTCATACATATTTCCAGAGCTCTGCATATCTATTTAGACAGATAATCTAACACAGTACAGAAAAATCTCTGCAGAGACCTCGGGAACAAATAGGATATTCAATTAATTTCATCAAACTTTTAATTGTATAAAGTTATCTGAGACAATTCCAAATACAGTAAGGTTAATATACATTTTGCACATACCACAGAAATATTAGTAATTACAAAGGTCTCCATACTTCCACTTTGCTCATACTTCCATTTGAAACACAGCATTTCAACAGAATAAATATTTTTATACTGTACACTGGTAATTGCTGTCCAACTCAAAAAAAGAAACAAACCATAATATAACTTCCTTTCACACCTGAGATTTTCCTGGTGGTTTCCTCCACAAGTTGTGACCTAGCTCCAAATTGCTCAGTTTATAAATTAACTTTAATCAGGGTATAGCCCATGGCAACATGTGAGCTGATGATTCATAAAGTTAAAAATGCTTTAAAACAGTAAATGCTGGGTTTTTTTAAATTGGTTACCTCATACCTGGACTTAAGATCCAGCCAGTTTTCTATCCAAACAGTTCACATATTCATTTCAATATAGGCAAAGGCATAAAGATTTGTGTACCACTCTAAACTGAATTTTTGAGCAGATATGAAAGGGAATTCAGACCTTTGTTCTGCTATCTGGGCTCCCCAGCAGGACCCTTCTCACTGCGGGTACTAGTGATCTCTAATACACTAGAAGGAAAATCTGATTTGTAGGCATTGACATACAGTTTGCAGATCATGCAAATTATTCTTTTTACCATTTTTTCTACACAGAGGCATTCATGGAAGTTAAAGCATACCACTCTGTGTATACCAAAGGTGGTTCAGCTCCTGTAGGAATATTCTCATTCAGAAAAAAATAGATTAAAATCTTACACAGTTCTGTGGATAAAATTTGTATATCTGTACTTGGAAGTTTTGCATGGAGCAATCACAGCAAAGATATCTTTGCTTCAGTTTTCTAACCTTTATTTGTTGTGATGTTTCTAATTTGTTAAAATGTCTCTTGCAGTCTTGATATAGCTAGCTTTTTCAGGAAATGTATCATTTTTGTGACTGTTGCTTCTTTAGACTTCATGAATTCCCTTACAGGAATCATAATATAATGTGTAAGCACAAGACTTTGACCCAGTTCTGACCTGGAAGAAGTAGGTAAAATTTAAAAAAAAAAAATTGATGATAGCTTTCATCAAGCTTGAATCTATAATGATTTAAATTGAATTAATTATATTGTCAATATGACAGATAATCAAGGAAACAGCTATTCTGCAGCTAGTAAAATAATGATGTTAGAAATGGAAATTGAATTGCTAAAAGAAAATACTGGTTATTAAAGCCTGCATTTTCACAGACAAATGAAGAGCAATTGTCAAACCCAGAAACATATGTCACCCTAGCATAGATGCGCAATTCTGCACACCCAAATTTGCACAAATAAGAAACATTGGTCTATAAATGTTTTAGTGGGCAAGTCACACATACAGCTTTTATGAGTCTTGATGATAAGTGCCCTATTTGCTCTCATCGTTTTCTAGGACCTAGTTCTCAGACAACTAAAACTCAGAAATAGGGGAAAAGTTAAAGCTGAAAAAATGCTTTATTTAAAATTCCCTGTGTTCACATACACATTCTCTGTTTGGCTAAGAGCCTTAGCACAACATCATTAGAAGTTATGGACAAATATTTGTTCATCGATTACTCTAAATGCCAGAATGCTAGAAGGCCTTTAATTTTCTAGTACTTACAAAGGTAATTATAGCGTTGCAAGGACTTTGTTAATTTCTTGGATTTCTATTATTTATGTAAAAAATTAATAACTTGGATGTAGAACTTATAGTTCAAACAAAAGGCCTACATTAACACTGTGTTAAACAAATAGTCCATTCATGAATTTTAAATGTACTTAGTTATAAATTACTATTTGATTCTTCTCAGAATAACAAGGTTTTTGCAAACTGAGAAACCTAGTTGATCTATTCAACTCTTAAAATGTTTAACCAAACAATTTACATGTAGGAATAAAGCCAATTTCAGAGCAGGTAATTACATTCATGCAATGACTCTCAATGCCTTTGTTGCAACCATTCCAGCCTTTTTTATCAGATCATTTGCAATGTCTGAACGCAGGCATTGACAGTGTGGAATGGGATTATTGTCAAACATAATTAAAACCACATGGCTTCCCCAGCTGCATAGCAGGTAAAATTTCAGAGCCATGCTGTTATTGATCCATGCTGCTCTTCACTTTTCTCTATCTCTCTGCTTCCTATCTGTCTTTTTGTCTGTTTCAGGCATTTTTCTTTGTGAAAGTCTAAGAAGGGAAATTTCTGATAGGACTCTGACCAAGAAATTTTCACAATGCCCTGAAATAACAACCTCCAACAATACTCTTTTCTTCCTCTGGACTGCAAAAGCCATTGAGTACTAACCTGTTCTCTATCTCTCGCCTGACTTCAGTACACATTGCCAGCCAGATTTGCTCAACCTTTTTCACTGCTAAGGTACTTTATGGCCCTCTAGAGATTCTAAGAGAGAAATTTAGAGTAATTAGTTGCAGAGATGGATTGAGCAGTCAGTTGGTAAGTGCTCACATTGAACTGCACATCTTTCTTTCTTGCCAGATTGTTGGCTGTGACCACCAGCTGGGAAGTGCTGTCAAGGAAGATAACTGTGGGGTCTGCAATGGAGATGGGTCCACCTGCCGGCTGGTTCGAGGCCAGTATAAGTCCCAGCTCTCCGCAAGTAAACGTAAGCTGTTCCTTCTGGTGGAGTGCCACCTTCCCCTTTTAGTGAAGGTTTCATTTTTTGCAGGCTAGATTTCACCCCACTCTTTCTCAGGTACCTGAATAATTGTGCTCAGTCTAGTCGTCCCCACAGGTGCTTGCCTCTTGGGTTAAAGCAGCCTTGCTCAGACTGTTGGTCAGGTTGTGGGGGTGGACAGAGGCTTGTGGAAAGCTGTCATCAGCATATTCCCCATCTCAGCTATCTGGTTGCTTATGAGAAGCAGGACAGCAGGAGGAGGTGGCTCTTCCAACAGCTCTCTGGCTGTATTAGCTGGCTATGCACAGGACTTAGTGCACACTGCTTTGAGCAGAATGGTTTATGCTGCTCTACAGCAGAGGGAAGCCCTGGGGGGCTGGTGGTGCCAACCTGGTGGAGTGCTGTCTCCAAGGCCTCTTAGCATCACGTGTGCCTGCATGCTCAGCATGGTCACCCAGTTCTGCAGGGAACTGAGGAACTGAATTTGACAGCGAGTGCCCACACAAGCTTGAGAGAGTTGCCTACAGAAAAACATGGCCTTTCCTGCATGCTGACCCAGCTTTAACTGAGAGTGGTAAAGTAGCATTAGTGTGCCCCAGTGAGGGGGTTAGGTTATCTCAAGACAGATTTTTTCAAGTTGTTTATAGCACCACAGATGGAGCTATAAAACTTTTGGGGTGGGAGATAAAGTGTGTCTTGTCACTTTGAAGGAAGGGTTAAAAGGTAGGTGTATTTTCATGCCTATGTAGGCACACCTAAGGAATCACATGTGCTAGCCTAAAAACCTGCCCCCAACCTTAGAGTTTAATCATACCAGCTCTACAATTCTGAAGCAACTTTGCAATTGCTGCATAGCGCATGACTTTAAAGATTCAAATAACAGTGCAATAATATCTGTTGAAGACTGTCTGTGTGCGTGTCTGTGTGTGTGTGTGTGGGTTCTTGTAACACTTGTGGGTTCTGTAACAGGGAAAGCTGCTTTTTCCAGCTTCTCTATGTCAAAGAGTAACTGCATTGGTGTGGAGCACAGCACACAGAGCAGCTGACAGCTAAGTGCAGGTGTGGCTCTGTGTTTTCTGAGTGAGAGAGAGAGTAGAAGAAAAAAAAAAAGGAGGAAAGGGAAGGGAAGTTCCAGGAAGGGAAGGGAAGGGCAACTATTTTGTATGAAGGCAAAAAGGAATAATTCTCATAAGAGGGTTCTGATGCAGAATTGTACATTAGAGGACAAAGGAAATAATTCACAAAGATTTAAGAATGGAATGTCACCTCATTGTTAAGTTTTTCGCAATGGACAGGAATAGATTTGGGAATCTACAGGCCATTTGAGACATAATAGTGTTTGTGAATTCCTTTTGGCAAATGTCTTTTTCTGTGGGAGCAATTAATTAGTTTTTAGTTGCTTTGTGGTAAAAAGGTGCTCATCTCTTCTCTACTGAGGATAAAGTCACTAATATATTACGCGCAGGACTAAAATGTTAGTAAAACATAGTGCCTATTTCCAATGGTTTGCTATTAAATGTAAAAAATGTTATATAGTTAATAGAGCAGATGGCAGAGAGCACAATCTTAATCTGAGATAAATGTGAAAAAAAGTTGGAGAATGGATTTCTCAGGCACATTTGCCTGTATATAATTGTTAGGCAGAGCTAGGAAAATTGTAGATTTTGTGTGCAGTCTTTATAATGTGGCATTATTTCCTTCCCTGCTATAAACATACATGTTTATATGCAACACTGTGAACTTTGAATCTGTGAACAGTAAGTCTATTTTTTAATTGGGTTTTTAAAAATCTTAAAGACATAGTTATGAATCCCCTTCATGTGTGTGAATTAATATGATTTCTGTTTTTGCAGTTGACTTCAAATATATGTAAATGTTGTGGAAAGTTGAGATTTTAATTGTTGAAATTCTTTCAAAAATCTATTGTGTTCATTTTCTGCATTTATCTTCCCCAGCTCTGTTGACACTTCATGTGTGTCAGGATCTTGCTTATTTGTCACTGTAAACATAAATACACTTGCAAATCTGTGATCGGGGCCTTATTAATTTTATTTACTCAGTCATTTAAATGACTGGAATCACTAGTTGATAGCTAAATTTCAAGTTTTCGTTATAAAATAATCCTGGTTTTTTAGATTTAAGTATATTTTAATCTGTGGTTTAAACAAGGGATTAAAGGACAGACTGCCATGCAGCATTAGAAAAATCACAAAGGTACATCAGCAAGTATCAACACTGACTAGTTATCTAGCCTCGTTTGGGAGTTTTGTTTCCCTAAGAGTAGTATTGAATCTTGAGGACTGTTCTATGGGTTGGACAGTTGACCTTTACTCCAGAGCTGTCCCAATAGTTTCTGAGGCTGTTTGTATCTCAAAACTATTCAACACAGTCTTGAGATCATCATACTAAAGTAATTTTCTCTTGGTGCTCACATCTGGTTCCCTTATCCCTGTTGTTTATATCATGCAAAGGCATAAGAGAAAGAAATTCATAGACCTTTTAAACACTTAGAATTTCCTACAGAAATAGCTTCTCCACTATTTATAGGGGTAGTACACAAGTTCCAGTGGCCTCAGAGACAGAAACATAGTAGGGCAGGATGTAGTGTGATGCTGAATTCTAACCTACATTTTTAATAAAAACAAAGTACCTGTGTCTGTACTTTTGTAAGACTAATAATAAAAAAAGCTACAAAAACCCTCATTCATTTCAGAAACATTCTTTTTTCTTAGGTGGCTTGGGTGGTTCTTTAGAAGTCTGCAGAAAATACATCTTTCTCTTTTTATTTAGTATCTTCTTTAGGGAACTCTGTATGTCATTCCTAGGAAGATCAGATGCATTTAAGCAGGCTTCTTTGTATTCACCAAGAAGCTAGAGAGTTAGTCCCATAAGTTGTGAATGCATTCTGCTAATCACCCAGTGCAAAGTTGGTATATCTCTAAAACAGGATTGACATCTACCAGCAGAGTAGTTTAAAATCCACTAGTAGAAATTATAATGCTGTGTAGATATTCACCTAATTACTGTTGTTATGGCTGTCAAAAATATATGTGGTTCCAGATTTCCACTGAGTGTCAGTAGTTATCTGGAGATAGAAAAAACTCAATTTTTCATCATGAGAACTGACAAACCATTTGTCCAAAATCCAAATTAAAAATACAAAACCAGAAGAAACTTCCCTCTCATGGGAGTCTGATGTATGTACATGACATTTAACTATTGCCTAAAACCTTGCACTTTCTTCTCAGCCCTGAGCCACTGTCCTCTCAGTTATACGGGACCTTCCTTTGCTTCCCTATGCATAGTCTCCAGAGAAAACCAACCACCTGTTAAAGCATTCTGTGTGTTTTCCACACAGCTGCTCAACAATCTGTCTCTCTGGTTATTGTTGGGGAGAGCTGTGACTAAATGTTAGCCTGCTTACTCTCACGTCTCTTCACAGGAAATGTCTCCTCCTTATCACTGTTAACCTCAGGAAATTATCCTTCAATCCCCACTGCTTCTGCTTTGTGAAAGCAGGAAGAACTGTGATAAGCATAAATCCCACTGAGCTTTGCATTTCACATAAAGCGTGCTAGGATTTCAAATGGAGAGCAAGTACAAGATCAGGTGAAATATAGTCCTAGCAATACCCTGGGGTAGGAGGTGCAGGCTGAGGACATGAGCTCACATGGGCTTTAAACTGTCCAGGTTTTCTGTGACGTGTCAGTGAGTTGTAGCTCTGCAGCACACAGTGCGTAACTGGGACAGTCAGATACAATAATGGCATGGGACTGTCTTTAAATAAGGCTTGTATAAAGCCCATTAATATTAGGGTTTTTTTTTAAATTGAAGTTACTGTTTTTCCAAATTCAGTCCAAAAAATGCTGCATATATACTGCAAAATGATGTGTCATACTCACATATTTTGTTCCCCAAAATGGATAAAATAATTTATCCTACCGGGTTGAATCTTAATGCTATAATGGTACCAAGAAAGCATTATTAGAGTATCAGTATTTAATTATTTTTTAGAAATTGAATATTTGTCTTGCCAAGTAGAAAATTTTAATTATGTATTGATATGAAGGATTCCTAGCTTTACTAATCAGTGAGATATCAGAGAATTAGGAAAACATGTGTTGAGTTTAAGCCCAGGCACAAAAGACTTAGACACTGAAATTTTGGATAGTTTGAGAAAAAATACCAAATCAGAACTTGAAAATGGGACATGGTTCAAAAGTTCCTGAAAATGTGAATGGTCTTTATGTCCACACAAATTTCTGGCACTTAGAGGGACTGCTTACATTCCCACCTCACTTCTGGGGTAGTAAGAGGCAACAAAATTATAAATGTTTCATCCCATAAAGCTTTGAAATATAAGAGTATAAAGAATCCCTATGCTGCATTACAGAATTCAAAATTTAAAAGTTCACAGTTTTTGAGATATTACAGGTTGGGATGAATAAATATATTGCTTAAAAGTTTCTGTTTCTCTGGTAGTGTTTCCTCTCTCTGTTGGCTCTCTACCTTTGATATAAAATGACAACATCAAGAAGTATTTTGCTAGTGAGTGACAATCCTGATTTAACTGGGTTCCAAGAGTTTTCCTAGTTTGGTCTGGGCAGAAGTGTAAGACCCCAACTCATATACTTGTGTGGATAAAGATAAAATGCTTTTATTGTCTGAGTTGGCCTCACCTGACAAGGCAAAACACTGTTTTGAGAGCAGAGCTGTAGCTCCTGCTAGAAGGTCTTTCATAACATAGATGTGAGCAGTTCAACAGTGAAAAAGACTTTTTCCTCTCACATCTACCACTTTCTCACTCACCCAGAAAAAATCTTTTTAGGCATGCATACCTTTTCTTTCACAACTTCAGTTACATGGGAAGAAGGCAGAAAGGACAGGGAAAGGTGAATGAAATGTGCTGATTTGTCCAGGTCAGCATTCTCTGGGCAGACCACTTCATAACCTAAGTATAACATTTTGTGTTGTCTTTCTGTGTCTTTGTGTCTCCTTTCAGGACATTACTGAGGTTACTGCCTCTTTAAAAATGCAAACCTAAGTAACTTTCACAGCTGCACATGGCCTATATGTTAATTCACACCTCGGTTTAAATGCAGTTGGCAAAGCTTCCAAGGGCTTCATAGGTGCAAGATCCTTCCTTAATGCCTATTTACATGACAGTCTAATGGGCTTCTGCTTTTCCAGGGGCTCTCTGCTAGCAGTGTAGAAAAAGAAGCAGAATTATAACCCTTATGGTCATGAAAATAAGAGGTGTGAAAGGGATACCTGAGAGCAGTAGGGGACCATCACATAACATGGAGAATAACATGGATCATGGAGAAGCTGTGGAGTTTAAGAGGGAAAATGTCAAGTGAGAAATGGGAAAGCTCTTCTGATTAAATATCAGAATAATCTTATGCTTCTGTACTTCGCCACAAACACTGATTCAAAATACTTGAGAGTTTTAAGTGGAGTTGTGATGAAATAAGAACTTATTAGTTACTCATGAAAACCATAAATAGTTGTGAAGGAGTTGGGGATAAATAAAATCAACAGGTTTGGATTCTTCTAGCAGAAGGTTCTTACTACATTTAACAAGTTCCTTTTTCAGATTTTTAGTAATAAGTCTTGGCATTTTTAATTGACCCTAAGGTTTTTCTTTTGACTGCCTTGTAAACACATATTTCTATGCTTATTTTAAAACAGATGGGAATTTCCTTGCTTATTTACTCCATGTGTTTTTGCATTCCCACAGTGGATGATACAGTGGTTGCTATTCCCTATGGAAGTAGACAAATTCGCCTCGTGCTGAAAGGACCTGATCATTTATGTAAGTACAAGTTGGTGTACCCTTGTTTAAGACAGCTTGGGTAACCTGCAGTGCTCTGTTTACACTGTGGCGTCTGGTTTCACTCTCTCAGATCACTGATTTCAACACACAGACGAGTCTTGCTCTCAGAAGTTCCCTCAGACCCAGTTATCTCAGTGATACATTTTTTTCAAAGTAGACCTTGGCCAACAGTGCAGAGTTCTTTGGCCCTCCATAATTTTTCAGTTATTTCTGTTTGCTTGTCCTTTGGCTGGCTCAGTTGGTGTCAAGTGCGTTTGTTTAAAATTAATAATGTACATACCACTGAGTGAAGAAATATTGAGAACAGTAAGTGTAATCTTCCCTGCAGCTCAGCTCAGCCACCAAGCTGCTCATGGCTTCAACACATTTCTGTTATGATCTTTCTCTCTCCCCTAGATACACATATACACTCACACCATGTGTGTGCTCATGAACACACACACACAAAATCACTCTCTAAAGATCTGAAATCACATACAAAAATGAAACCTTGTTCTTTAGCAGTGATACTGCTCCAAGGAGTTAAGGCCATGGAATTCTGCTAGCCCATCATTTAGCTTTAGCACTTTCCTGCTTTGTCTGTGTAACCCAGCAGCTGTATATCCCTTTTTTCTGGGAGGAGTCTCAGGCTTTGAGAATATTCTGCTAGACCTGAAGGCAAATCCATTTATTCCACTAATAGAATCTCCTGGCCCCCCTTTCTCTCATATTCCAGTGCAGGGGCTCTTCACAAGCTGCTTCCTTTCTTATCAGCAGGAAATGAATATTGGAGTATTAGTAAATAGGATTTACCATCAGAATAAAACCCCAAACTGTACTGCTTGACCTCTCAGTACCACAAATTATTATAAGTCAGGCTACCCTTTTATTTTTCCAAAAGTCCTTAGGAATTTTCTGCAGTACAGACCATTTATGTCTTCTGTGTTTGTCAGTGTAGGTACAAACATGAGTGTCAGCAAAGATGTGAAACACCAAATCGTTTCACTGCCTTCATATTTTCTTTCACCCAAAAATTTTATACGGGGTATCAAAATAAGGGATGGCTTACTAGTCCTGTACTACGGCTTTGGACTTGTGTTGAGAAAGCACTGGATTCTTCAGATTTAAAGCAGTGGATAAAGACGAGCAAATTACCAGTTATAAACCAAGGAAAAAATATATGTTATGTTTTTGTTAAAAGTTCAAATGCTGCCTGTACCTCAGCTTTAAGTGGCCCTTTGGGTATTCCTGAGCTGCTCCAGTTATGGCTAATATTATTTTCCCAGTACATGACATGCACTCTTCCTTTCCTTCGTGTCTTTTTTTCTAATATAGACATTCTCTTCCAAGGTAGAAAATTTTGTACTTGTCTTATTGTTTCAGTGAAATTGAGCTCAGAGAGAAATGAGATTTTAGCTGGAGAGATAGATCTAAAGCTTCAATCAGGCCATATCATATTTCATTACAAAGAGATTTGAATCAGCAAGGTCTGCCTCAGTCACTGGTTGAGATTTAGATTAACTGTGCTGTGTAAACATGAATAAGTCCAAATATATCTCTTTCTTGTTTCAGATGTCTCCATTAATCTTTCTGTTCACCCATCAAAGGATTTTATATATGTATGAGCTACAGTCAGTTTCAGGGGGAGGCAGTATTTTCCCCTGTGAACTTCGGTTGTGGGAGAAGTCAACAGGAGGCTGATTATATATACACAAGTCTTAAAACCATCTTTATTACTGATGCATGCAGCCTTGCCAAAAACAAATAGATGGCCAAGTGCATCACAAAGGAGGAGACTGGTCTCACTGAAAACCAAAGAATTCATCATTACAGTGAAAATTCTTAGTGTACTGCCTCGGCAACTTCTTTCCTTAATTAGTTCCCTTAATCCATAATGAAAAGCAGTCTAATTGCTGCAATTACATTTTTTGTTCCCAAATTAGCAACCCAATAGATGCAAATAAAAGCTTTTTTTTTTACTTGTCTTTGAAAATATATCTCTATCATAGATTAATAGTATGCCTCAGCTGCCTCATTGTGTTGGAGTTTTTCTGCCTATATTCATAAATATATGTGAAAGGTTTGCAGCTTTCCAGTCTTTCATGATGAAAGGCCCTGTTGTTTTTAAATAACTACCAGAAACAATTTTCTGGTGAATGTGCTGTAAAGCATAATCTGGAGTTGGTAGGGAGGCCAGCTGAATGGTGAAACAGACTTAGTTTCTGACTGTTGACTTGTATTTAAGAAATTATCATTACTTTTAATATGACAATCAGAAGTAGCTACTACAAAACAGTATCGGAATTAATGCCATTTTGGGGAACCGTGAATACAGAGAGAGACAGATGGAGAACTCAGGAGGGTTCAGCACCTACCTTCCCCTTCTACTCCTCTGGGATGGGTCAGACTGCTTCTGGAGAGGAAATGGGATTGCTGCCATACTGATCTTTCTTTCCTGGATATCCTGCTTTCAGTTAATTGTCTACCACAACAACATGTGGTTAGTGACCCACCTTTGAACTGAAAGAGGGTACAGCAACTTAGCAGTGCTCACGGGCCAAGGTCTGAGTCACGCTCCACACAGGAGCGTGACTTACTGAGGGTGAGTTAAACCACAGCAAATATGCCTAACAAGGAATGGATTAGTATGTCTGGAAGAGAGTAAAAATATGACCTATGGGTGAGGAGGGAATGTGAGCTAAAAATCCAGGGGTTGAACAGAGACAAAAAGCAGATGGAAGAAAAAAGAAAAGTGTGCAAATGTGAATAACTATGGGAAAAGAGTTGCAATATTACTAATTTTTGCTGGTTTGGGTTGTTGGTTTTTTGGTTTTTTTTTCTTCTCTCACTTCAAATTGCAATGCTTTGGTTTCCTGACATTTTTTTTCTGCTTGTCAGATTTGGAAACTAAGACTCTCCAAGGTGTGAAGAGTGAAAACAGCCTCAGCACCATTGGCTCCTTCCTTGTAGAAAATTCTAGCATTGATTTCCAGAAGTTTCCTGATAAGGAGATCTTAAGAATATCTGGGCCTCTCTCTGCAGACTTTACTATCAAGGTGAGCATCATTGGTCATTGACATCTTAGAGCAACATAAAGTAAGACAAGATGTACTAGGAAGGTGAAAGAGATTTTCCTAGATCTTCATTTTCTAGTAGATGTTTATCACAAAGCCTAATACAAGCTATCTCTTGAACTCTACATGTAATTCTTTATGGTTGTATATCTGATGAAAGCCTCACTGGAACTTCTGAGGAGAGAAAGACTGCCTTTATGTCATGAAAGGTATAGCCAATATATACCCTAAAAAGAAAAGATGAACTCATTTCAAGAAAGACAGATTATTTTCTATATGCACTACTGAGGTACTTATAAATCAATGACGTGCAGTTATCTTTGTCTGTGATAAGTAGAAAGATACATCTTTGGCCCATAGTTTGTTGGTTGTATACTAATGTAGTTGCACAGAAGACTGAAAGAAAGTGAAAAGTCCCCAAGCTCTAAAATAAATGGGATAACTTTGCTTGAGAAGTCATGGCATCATCTTGAAGTTCTGCTTTTTGTGGTACTGGCAATGAGAGGAAAATTGTTCCTTCCCATTAGAGCATTTCTATTCTTCCAGGTAATATAAAACATATTGCTGGAAGCAATGCATACATTCTGTGGGAGAACAAACATACAAAAATGAACATTTTGAAGTTGCAATAAAATAAATCCTTTTCCAGTAGGTCCAAGGAACCTGAAGGATTTCAGCTGTAAAACTGCAAAACCTGTATCATGTCCAGGATCATGCAAATTTTTCACTTTCAGCCCCAGATGTAGATGACATTTGCTTTAACCTTGAGCTAATGGCAGCTAGAGGTTTGAACAGTGAACTGGAAAACGTCCTAAGTGATTGTCCTGAGTTCAGCTGAGCTGTGCTGGAATGGGTTACTTTGGGAAGTAGAACAGTCTTGTAGACTGTCCCCTGTCCATCGTGGTATGTTAGCAGCTGAAAAAGCAAATTAAAATTTTCAGAACTCATTCACAAGGAGAAGCCTGAGCTAAGGAATATGTTCCTTCCTCTTTGAATGGCAGAACAAAAACGCCTTGCTAAAATAGATACTGTTCAATGCAAAATATCTAAAACTCATTTACCTCTTTTACAGGTGATACAGAGATGGCAAGCATCAGTGCAATGTAAACCGTATTTGTCACTTTGTTTTATTTCTGTTGTCTGTGAATTTCTGGCAGCCTAGTTATAATATAATAGTGGGAAACAGCTAATTACATAGACCAGTTGTCCTGCAGTGGCAACAGGAGGGTTGTACTCTCTTCCCTATCTTTCCACTGTTGTCTTTTGTGACAGGGAAAATACTTTTATCCCTTAGTGCTTGCATTTTCTTCTCTATCAAAGCAAGGTGAGACGTGATGATTAAATCAAAGAAGTACTCTGTATAAATGATGACAGTCTGACCAGTATGAATCTATAAGTTGGCTAGGCATGGGCAGAACAGACTGCTGAATTGAGGTGAAACTATTTTGAGTTCTGCTATATGTTTGTAACTTTGAAAGTCAGAGTAACGTGACTCATTAGGTGTTAAATCTGTTGTCTTTTGTGGATATAGAAAAATACATCAAAACCCCCAACCCATTGTTCATGGTTGTAGGATCTTTTCTAAGATTAGGATTAAATTTTGCATTGGATTAGGCACTAAAAAATTCTCTTCTCTTGAGTCACAGCTCATTTTTAATCAACAGCTATATAAGATTCTTTGGCTAGTACTTCATGCAACACAGATATTATTCTGAACTATTAAATTATTTTTCTAACAAGGTTTTTTTTCTTCTGGATATTTACTTTGTTAGATTTTACCAGATAAAAGCATGCACAGATGCGTGTACAACTGCATGCAATCCAAGATGCTACCTCTCAGTTATGTCAGGCTTGGAAATTGTTTTTCATACTTGCTTTATCCATGATGATTTTCCCTTCAGATTTTGAAGTTAAAATACTTTTCTTTGAAAAAAATCACATTAAGTATTTCTCTGTGATATTAGTAAGCTTTCCTTACAAAGTGGGATCTCTGTGGGTGTCAAGATTTTCTTTCCTGGGCCAAGGCAGATTTTTATGCAAACAGATCTAAGTGAATTTGAAGATGTAGCAGAACTATAGTGTCCTGGTTCAGGGCAAATTTGGGAGAGAACCCCTAAATGGGTTCCTCTAGAAAAGCAGATTCAATTGGCCCCTCCCCCAACTGGTTTGGGAGAAAGACTTCTTTGGATAAAAGTGGAATAAAACCTGTTTATTAAACAATAAAACCCAAACAATATGAAACAATAAAACCTCTTGCTGCTCCAAAAAAGATGGCAAGCTCAGAACAGTCCCCTCCTTGGGCTGCAGCTCGGCTCACTCAGTCTCTGGTCAGTCCCTCTGGCGCTGGAGACGCCGCGGCCCAGGCCTGGCCCGACGGGCACAGGTGGAGCTGCCGGTGCTCTGCTGGTGTTCAGGCCAGAGCAGGTTTGAACAGGTCCAAGAAAAAGAAAAACAGCAGTCCAGGGAACTTCTCTGCCTCAGCTAGCTAAAACTAACTAAAAGGAAAGGAGAGCTGTGTCCTGCTGTCTGTCCATCCACAGACAACACAGTCCAGGAACAGGAATGTGGAGGAATGAGTGCAGTGTCTGAAAACAAACTGCACGATTCTTCCCTCCCCTCTTAACTCACTGCAACAAGTCTTAAAGGTGCGAAACTTATTTTTCAGCATAAACAGAACAAGACAATTGGCAATAAAAGCATCATATAGTTAACCCAGGACATACAGTTTTAGAATCATTGTTCCCAGAATTATTCTTGAAATCCTTTTCACTTGAACCTGAATGCTCTTATTCAGACAGGTCAAGTTAGACGCCTGGATATAATTCAGAAGTAGAAACTCAGTGTGAGAGTTGACACTTAATTTTCTTTATTGCTAACACAAAGTGCATTAAAATTGCAAGAAGAAACCTCATGCTGTTCCTGGAGGAGCCGAGTTGTATAATTACTGGATTGCTTTACTGTGTAATAATCAATGGCACATTCCCCCTGTGCAAAACTTTGCAATTTTTTCACAAGATGTGTAAATAGTAGTGTATTTAAAAGAAAAGTAGTGTATTTAAAAGAAAATATTGTTATCACAAAATTGAAGCAGTTGCAAAGCTATTCATGTTCTTATTTTTTAGACTGATCATTTTGAGAATTATAAGTCTCCACTGTAAACTTTAATTTTTGAAAGGCAAAAGACCTAGCAAATGTGCCAGTAAACTTAAATCCCACTAGAACTGCTTTTCCTAAATTCTGATGATTTCTCTGTTTTGATGTTTTCAGTACAAAATTCTGGTTCACATGAATAGAAGTGCCTCTTTCCTGTAAGAAGAATGTGTTGTGTTTGACATAATCCTGAATAAACGAAGGTCCATTTTCATTTGGAAATCTGTTTCTGTGGTCTAGAGATAAGAGTAGTAATATAACACAGGGGGGCATGCCTTTTACACCAGAGCTGCCCCTGACCTGCTCTGTTGCTGGTGTTATGTTTGTTCACTTGTCTGTGCTAAAACATCTCCTCTGTTAGTGTACATTTCAGACCCTAAACAGAGAATCTTGGGGTACTCAGTTCATCTGCATCTGCTCTCCTTTGAGCAGGATGAAGCAGTACTGTAAGACAGGGTCTACAGCTGGCCATATAATGAGAGCGGACATCACCTGATGACTGTAAATATGAAATGTATTAGTGGCAGGCTTACAGGAACCACCAGTAGCAGCTGCCAGTGAAGAGTGGGGCTGGCAAAGCACAGCCTGTTGGGATCTGCTTCACAAGCTGATTGTTGTACGGCAAGGACCTTAATCCTGTGGCTGAGGTGTGAGCCAGCAAAGACCAGTGGGTTGAAAACAAGGTGTAGTGAAGGGTATTATCTAGGCTTGGGTTTGGTTTGGAGGATAAATAATTGTAGGCCTAGATCTAGGCTGGACTATGTTTATGTTGGTTTTAGATGCCAGATATTGATGAGGTAGTCATAGTGTTTGCCTAGACCAAGTCCTTTGCATGAGGGATGCATAAAGTTGAATTGCACAAATGTTTGTCTGGAGACTTTTAGAGCTATTTAGATTAGGATTGCATTGTATTGGTTGTCTTTTTGTAGTGCTAGGTCTGACAAGCCTTGGCTAAGTGCTGCTGCCAGGAGAGTGTCTGGTCCTTTTTTTTTGTGCTGGTGGCTGGGGTGTGCTGCTGGCTGATTAGAAATGGAGTGGACTGGGTTCGCTTGGGCAGAGTTACTGCTGAATTCAGGGCTTTGGCCACCAATTGTCCAAAAAGTCATAAAATGCATCTCATAAGTGCATGCTGAATTACAGAACTCTAGAGCTAGCCAGACAGCTGTTGGCTCAGCTGCAATCTAGCACTGGCAGAAGGTGCTGGTGAGATACAAGCATTTGATAATAGTCCAGGTTAGCAAAAGAAAATAAGGTTGGGACTTGGTCTACACTTCCTGGGACTTGCAAGGGCATGCAGGAGATAATTAATGTACAGGCAGCCAGCTGGCAGAGAGGTTGATGTACCTTGTCAGTCTAGGGCCAGGATTGGATTAAATGTTACTTTGAACAAGGAGCACACAGTGATTTACTTTGTGGCATGAAACAATTTATTTCAGCGCTTGTTTTAAGGCAGAGGCCAAATAATGCAAATTTGCTCGAGCAGCAAAGAGCTACTGTTTATAGTTCACATATTGTTGGATATTTGAGGTATTATCGTATTAGAATTGGAAGTAAAGACAGTAAGGGTCTTCTGTGCAATTTAGTTCTGATGCTGGCAGAGGTTTCTGTAAGACATTGTACCTCATATTTGGGAGAAAGCTTCCTATCAGGTGGGAAGTGGTGAAGAATCTTGGAAGCACTGACAGCTTGGGGTTAAGATGGTGCTCCTGGAAACTGATGAGATAGAATTAAGGCTGAGTAGACAGAAATAGTAATAGTTAAAGTTTAATGTAACTGATTCAGCTTTTGGGTATCTAGAAGAGATCAATGGAATATTGTCAATTTGTTGTAAA